CTGACAGAGATCGGCAAACCGACCTGACGGATCGGTTTGATTGTTTTAGATTTAGATCGAAGCGGAACACGAACGCATGTGTATCTGAGTTAATGAGTAGTACTGGTGATATACGCCAAGACCTGGTATACGATCACACGGCTCCGCACTCAGTGTCCCGATTTCATGAATGAAAACAACCAAAACAACGAATTGCATGATGAACGCGTTACAATAAACACACCATACACCACAGCGCCAGAATAGCACTCTGCGTTCGATATTTATCTCTAAAAACCTTTTGCCGGCAGCGGATTTGTAGTGTTTGGTTTCCCGGGATTGGTCTGGTCGCGGGCTGTTTTCTTCTCTCCGTCCGTTCGTTCGGAGCATTCAGCCGAATGCCCTCGACTCGGTCCGCCGCACGGGCCGCTGAGTGGAGACGGTATGGCTGCAGCACGGCCGCCGGCGCGGTATGGTTGTGGCGTGGGGTGGACTGGACCGAGCTGGGTGTGGTTAGGTATGGAGGTATGAGTCGGGCTGGGACCGTGGCGAAGTGGGGTGCAGACACTGGGCAGCACTGGTAGGACTGTGGCGGTGAGAGCTGACCTGAGCCGGTTTGGGTCGTTCTTGGGATGGTCTCTGATTGGGGTTTGTCCGAGATGTAAGGGGACGGTATTTGTAAGGTGATCAGAACTGAAAGACCCATTACAATTGGCACAGCTTGAGCTAGGACAGGTTATCACTTAGTCGCTATACGCAGGGACGATCATTCCAGCTAGCATGAAATTGGATCTACATAAGAAGTTTAATTGCTACATTGGACAAATACCAGCATCACACAACATTGTACTCTTTATTAGCGATCGCACACTTGCAACTATGCAGGATAGTATTGCGAATGACCACTGGACAATGACCATTCCTTTGGCTATTGTCTCGATCGCATGCCTTGTGGTTTAGAATGAACGAAATATTGCCATAGTAAGTGCTCGTCATAAATATCCTATCGGACATTTATGTGGCCGTGTTTTGAGCATGATGATAAAACCACCACTGTAGGAATTTATAGGCTGCCATTTGTTCACGCAACATCTGTTTTATTAAACAGATTGATGGTTGGGACTTTGAATGCCGCACTCACATACGGCGCAGAGTATACTTACACTCGACACAGTCCATTTTCCAAGTATTGCGTTGTCCAAGCCCTCTTGAAGAGACGATTAATGTTAAAATATAGCAAGTAATTTGCCGCTTAAATCATATGACAGCCTTATGTGAAGAGACTCGTGCACGTGAAGCTGCGTCCTCAATGTGTGCACCATTTACGTTTTGTTTTATCACAATTTCACATAAATCCTTGCCATTACTCTTAATCCCTCGAGCTTAGTGTTTCGTCGTAAAATGCTGAGCTATTAAGTCGCCTCGTCACCCGCGTAGCCATGCTTAATCTCCAACGCTTACTAAACTGGCCTGCAATAAGTTTGCCTGTCAAAGGCCAAGCTGCCGAGACCAGACTGATTTTTAAAAATTCATAATTTATGCATTAGGATTTATCCTCCTTACCGAACAAAAGCCCTTGCATAATACAGCCTGATTACGATGGCATCCAGGCTATAATGGTATGCAATGCGCATGTTTATACCCGGGGTAATTAAAGACATTGTTTGGTCCTGGCTTTCATTCAGTGTACTATGAACATTGAACACCTAATGGCTGTTCCGAAAATGCATTTAACTCTTCCTTCAAATCAGATATACCCCATGCGAAATCTGTTTTATCTAGCCTCATACAAATCTGTCTTTCCTCCCGGTGCAGTCCATTCTCTTCCTGGTATGCATATTTAGTTTAGTTTATATATTAACCCTCGCCCGCACATGCCATTTTCCCATCCTAGAACGCACATGGGGGGTTGCCACCCCCGCGCCATTTCGTTCCTGTTGGAGATAGAGCTTAGCGGTAAAGACCGAAAAGATTCTTTGGGAAGAGACGAATCCAATGATACCCAGTTTTACCTTCTCAGGTCAGTCATTGACCTTCCAGGTCAGGTCAAACTAAAAAATGTTGCTGTTTTGGGTCACCGAACTGGATATCAAGTGCGCTGCTTATCATATACCGACGACGATGCCGTTTTCTGGTGCCAAGCCAGCTAGAACCTCTTTCTCACACTACCCGACCAGGTTTTTGCTGCTGAGGTCATTTCAGGTCAAGTTAGGTCAAGGTCAATTATATGTGTTTGTATGTCTGTGTGTGTCTGTGTATACATATACTGATGTGTGCACCGATTGTTTATGTGTCCATATTACATGAAATCATGATCTGAGAAGCTTTTACCAAAAATGCAGTCAAAAAACTTCACAAAAAGTAAATTCCGCTTGCCTAAAACGTAATTATCTTAGATGACCTAGGTTGACCTTGACCTTGACCTTGACATCTGTACATCGTCGAACAACATGTTCCATGATAGGTGGGAGGTAAGACTGGTAAAAAAGGCCGAAATCAAGGTGTCAAAAGCTCACAAGGCCCATAGCCAACGCAAGATGTCGAGAATTGGCCATATGGGCCATGACATGACCTGAAAAACCAGGTCATATCTCCGAAACCAAAAGTCACAGAAACCTGAAATTAGCACGTGCTCGGCGATCGGTGGTACGAGTAACCATCATATACCAATTTTCTTTTGGCGCGACTCGGTCTCGACTCCTTTCACGCCCTCTGTCGATCAGCGTCCTGCATGGGGTCAGTGCCGTGATTTCTTGCTGAAAGACGAGACGGACTGATGAAAGGAGGAGACAATGGGTTTGGAGGGAAGATAATGTAATAGTGGGGGAGTGGGGAGGAGGTGGGGAAAGATGGTCCCTCTGTGATGGTTTGTCAGCAAAGGGAAGGGTGCAGTTCGTGGGGCGCCGCCGCCTGTAGTCACTTCCACGTCAGTGCAAACTGCAATGTCTGGCCGGCCGCTAGGTGTCTGGGTGTTTCATATGAGTCATGGGTTCACACGATGCCGCCGCCGAGTACGTACGGGCGTTTGCGGCGCCGATGTGTGTATGGCTGTGGGCCTCGCCGTTCTAATGAATCTTACAGTCTCATCCGATCCAGTAAGGTGCCATTTTCAGTGGACATCAAGAAAGGATAGAGGAGCAGCTATACGAAAAATCAGCCTTCTAGCTCTAAAAATGTTGAGTGCAGAGCAGAAAGACTACCTGGGGGGGGGGGGGTGGGGTGGCAACCACCCCCCTCCCATGTGCGGGCGAGGGTTAAGTCATCAACAGGCTCACACCCTATGACGAATCGAGTCATGATATAAAACAATAGTCATAACATAAAACAGTTCACAATTTAAAACAATAAAAATAAAACTTTGATCCGCTCCGGCTCTGAGACGGGACATGCCTCCGTTCTGTCACCTGGCCCCTCCCCTCCGGATCCGACCATCTCAGACTGTCCCATCCAGCGTCTCAGCCGGTTCTCCCCATGTAGGCGGCCAGTCCACCCCCGGCGCCAGTTTGCGGTCTGGCGTCCAGCAAATGGTCGGCGCTAAACCGGCGCCAATATCGCCCTGGGGAGGCGGCAGCGTCTTCCGCGGCCGGGCGCCGGCTGCCGTGCCGCTCTGCCGCTCAATTTTCCCCGGCGCGGCGGCCGGCCGGTGGTCGTCGCCGAGACCACATTTCGGCCGCCAGCTCGATGGTTTGACCAGACGAGCGCTCCAGCCAGCTGGAACAGCGGCCCATGGTCCGTCGTGGACACAGGGGACGGCTGCCGGAGGTGGGCGAGACCTCCGTTCCTGGGGTCACCGGGGAACGTTCGACTAACCGGTATCGGCGTCCAACAGAACGCGATCGCCTCAGCTCGGCTCAGACGCGCTGTCGGCGTGGTGTGACCGTCGTCGGTCGCGACGGCGTCCGAATGGACCCAATCGCCGGCCCGAATAGCGCTCGATGGGTCACCAAAGGCGGACAGACGCGGTCCGGCCGGCTTTGATCTGCGCTCGAAAACCAACAGCGCTGCAGGCGGCGACATTGGTTTGGCGAAACGCGCTGACCTTTTCGGGAAATGCTGCGCTGATGGTCAGTAAAATATCATAAATATCAACATATCCATTCCCTGTTGTTCAATACTGACCAGTTACGACTGCTGATCGCTGTATAAAAATGCTGCATTGAACCGTCCAAAAATATAGGATAAAGGTTGACAAAATTTTTATAAAGCATCACTTTTTCCTTGAAAATTTCCATTCATCTCTCGTTGCTAGGTTTTGCTTTTCTCTTCAAAGATATCTTGAAATCACTGGACATTAGTTTCATTAACGTAAATGGTCACCTCCCATCCCTCCATTTTGCTGCTAATAATAATGTCTAGATATGAATTGCTGCTCGATGCCCCTCTGAAAATGAGGCATTGCATCTTTCCTAATAAAAATTATTCTGTAAAAAAATACGTATTGTGAATATTCGTGGTTTCGTCTCGATATCTCTGAAGAAAATATTTCCCAGAATAATCCTGGAAAAATACCAGCGGGAGGGACTATGCTTTATATCAGTACCTATAAGCACTGCAATCATACGGCCTGAGCACACAAAACAACCGAGCGCACGCTATAATAGAGAAATGTAACCAAACAAGTTCCAGCTTATTTGTGTGGCTGACGCAGAGATCCGCATTGTGATCAAAGGAGGGCTAGTAAAAAGTCAGCCTCAGCATTCGACAGATCTCAAAGCGCTGTCAAAATATGCCACCGCAGTGCAGTATACGTCGACTACAGTGCAGTAAAACTGGCTGATAAATGTAAGTCAATAGCAAATACTGAAATTGATTGAAGAAGCGATGAAGACGAACTCACTGAAGAAGAAATTGCGCTTATGTGATTTTCCAGTTTGTTTCAAGGACTATTCGTTCAGAAAGTCGTCGGCTTGTTATCGTTGTACGTGTTCGCATGCCCTTTTGCTCCTTATCTACCTGACCTACATTTCTAGCCAACCATAGTCTACCACCAATCACCATCCCCCACACTCGGGATGCCTCACCTGATGTTGTCCTCGTCCACAAACATGATGACACCGCGCGCCTCCGGCTTGGCGGCCAGATGTGCGATCGTGTTGTCAAAGTCGGTCTCGTTGGCATTGCGTAGGATCTTCTCCGCGACTGCCACACAGATCCCGGCGCTGCTGGCCTGGCTGGTGAACGAGGAGATACCCTGCAGGGAGGTCGAGTGGGGTCAGATCGAGGTCAGGGCAGGTCGGGTAGAGGACAGGGCAGGTCGGGATTCGATGGATGACGGGATCAATTGGACGGAGATCGTTGAAAATGGCAAGATAACGGAGGATTGGCTTCCTCTCCGTAAATGGTGTGACAACTGGATTTTGAAAAGCAAAAATACACAAAGCATGTTCACTTGACTTTGACAAACCCATTTCATCTTCAACTATCCTGCTCTCTATCGTCGCCCTTTACTGCCTATTTCTCCCCAAGTATCTTCTTCATAATAGCGTTCTCACCTTCTCGCCGTAGTCCCCCTGCACGGCCACAGTACTGACGTATTTCCAGCCGAGCGCCCGGACCACCTGCACCATGGCCTGAGCCTGCCGGTTGTCGGGCGGCACCACGCGCGAAAAGTACTCGAACCGAGTCTTGTCCGACAGCTCCGTACTCGTGGACGCGTAGCTGATCTGCGGGATCTGCGCGGAGAGGCACAGATATCATGTCACAAACGCTGATTTTTTTCTAATATACTTTTCTATGCACTTAAAACAGGCGTCTGCATTGTTGAACCACTGATTCTTATTTGCGACGTTTCATTTCGAATTAGAGCTCACGATGCATTTCAGCAGCATGACGAAAGCATAAAACAACATTGGACTGAAGTCTGACTTCTTGTTATCGAGGCCATCCGAATGAGGGAGAACCAGCAAAACCTTACAGATGATAAAAGATAGTTGTTCAATTGCAAAACTCGATACGTATCTATCTAATAGACGTAGTAAGCACAACGAAGGCGTGGAAACTCCCTCATGGTTTCAGCGGTTCAATTTCGCTGCAGGATAGCGTGCGCTGCCCAAGAAATTCCGCCTGGCCATGACCCAGTCTTTCTCAGCGCGCGCGGACGCTTTGTTAATCTGTGATGCCAACGATAGGCCGGTGGCCTTGCCATGAATTATTTAGCCGCGGCTAACTCCCCAAACGGTGCGGCCTGTAAAGTTGTCCAGTGGCCAACGATACCGTCGCCCACACTAGAGGACCTCTGGCTCGACAGTCGGAGGTCGTCCGCTCGAAACAGATCGGCCAACTCACCACATTTTACAGCCGCTTTCAGCGCCCCCCCCCCCCCCCCGATGGTGTATTGAATCGACTTGAAACGGTAGCACGCCGGCCTTTAGATAGCGGCAAAGCGTGTCTGTTTAGGGCGTCTTTTAACGCCTGAGTAGTCTTGCTGCATGACCACATAAAACTGTGAATGCCCGGGTGGGTTATACTTGTGACCGGCCTCCATCTGTCTTTGGCTCACAGGCGGCCAAATCGGGGCGGCAGCTCTGAGACTGTCAACTCGTCCAGAGGTCGGTGACCGAGACGGTGACAGCGCAGACTTTACATCAATTACATTAGGGCTGCTGTAATAAGAGGCTGAAATTGAATTGATTCTGTTTTATGGCCACGGCTGCGCCCGATCCATTGGTAGCAGTATATTCTGATGATTCGCAGAATTTTGCTGCTTATGTCGTATAGCATGCAGGAGATATGGTTCTTCTGCATAAGGAATCTCGTAGCGCGGCTGTCTATCTAGTCAAACGGTCAGAGGGCGGCAAAACAAATGTCTATGTTCTATTTGGGCTTACATTGACTTTATCCAACCCGAATCGATACGGCTACAAGCAGAAAGTGGTGTTAACCATCGATGGTTATTCGGTTTAGTAGCGCGAACATTTAATCATACCTGGTTTTAATCGCACTCATAGGTATGGTCCATTCTACGTCGTTTTCAATAAGTGCTAATTATTTAGAGTACCACTTGAAGCAAGATGAATGAACAGCCGGACAATTAAAACGTCAGCTATGCAGCTCACTTTCTTGTGTCCATTGTCTTTGATAAATCGGGCTGTGGATTTAGGCCCTGTTAAGCATCTCACTATCTCATGTTGACGCCCCAGCTCAGTGTCCCTTACTCAGTCTTCGATGCACTTTTCATGGCGATATGCCAATGTTTCTTCTTCGATATTTAGACACATTTAATTCATATTATGAGCAAAAACATTAAAAGCTTGTGCGTACATAATCACATGTCTAGCTCATTTCAAGGAGAACAGCTTTGCAAACCCCAGACAAACTGCCAACCCACACCATCTTTCAGCCATTGACCGGGAAGCAGAGACGGAGGGGGGGGGGGGAGACACCCTTGCCGAGAGCATGGGGCGGGGTGAACAATTTCGCCGGGAACTGATGATGACAGCGCTTTTTCAGGCCGCTCACGGCTGTTGGTGTGGCGTCAACTGAGTGGGCGTTTCATCAGGAGACAATTTCCGCGGCTGCTCTGATCCCAGTCAACAGACAGACTGCACGAGCAGTCCCCGAGGCATTGGGGTGGTCCGACCGAGACGAGAGATGGATGGAAGACGAGAGAGAGGAGAGAGAGAGATAGAGAGAGAGAGAGAGAGAGAGAGAGAGAGAGAGAGAGAGAGAGAGAGAGAGAGAGAGAGAGAAAGAAAGAGAGAGAGAGAGAGAGAGAGAGAGGAGAAAGAGAGAGAGAGAGCGAGAGAAAGAAAGAAAGAAATAAAGAAAGACAGCAAGGGAGGATTCTTCATGTAGGATAAGCACAGTACGTTCACACGCTAGTTGATAAGATACGGCGTTTTTCAAAAGCTGCTGGTAAACGACCCTGCTGAGCTAAGCTGGCATTAATTCTGAAATGAATAGCCAGACATACCCCGCCAAAGCGTTTACATGATCCCTCTGGAGATCACGCCTCATTTTTTTTTTTTAAAGCTGGCATTGTTGCAGAAATGACCACGGTGCATCGGCAAGATAGGCATCAACACCACGGCTTAACCGCGTTGGGGAAAACAGCAGCACAACAAGGTTTTATGGTCAACCCTAACCACAAGGCCCGCTATATAGTATCCTAGTCATACAAACTTCACCATAAAAGTGCGCCGTAAAATTCCCGGGACGAGCTGATAATGCTCTTTCCTCAGAACAGCCAAGGAGCCACAAGCACTGCCAGTGATGCTGTGTTCTATAATGTTCGCCTTTCAAGGAAACCGACTCGGCAATAGCACAAACTAGCGAATTTTGCCATGCACTGAGTTTTCATTGGCCTTCAAGTTTGAGGTCAAAATGAACATTATTTTTGCCTGGAGGCTCTGCTCCGTATTCATCACAATCCAATACGCGATGGGTCGGCCTCGGCCACCTTGCCACAACAACCACCGGGTGTGAGATATACAAAGTAAACTATCCATCACCTGTAAAGGCTGCTCAGACTGCTGGCTTTCGCCGGTGACGAAGAGACATACGCCTTCTCAAACATCTCAATACCCGGACGGCCCATTTCGCCGAGAAAAATGTCTATCTAGTAAAAACTCCAATCATGTTTTCAGCGGATGCCATCGTAAATTTATGAGAGCAAACAATGCCTGTGGACTAAGGAGCCTGAAATATTTGTTCCATTTACATCGCATGACAAGCGTGGAAGACTCGCGCGGAATGGCGTGGCTTAAATGTTGTCTTTTAACTAGCTTTCTTTGAACTACACATCTTTATCTTTAACTGCAATAGTAACTAGGCTGTAGATGTTCCACATTTTCTCTGATCCTTCCTCCCAATCCTTTCGTATTTCCAAATTATGTCTGTTTTTTATTTTAGACTTGGACATAGCAGATGACGTTTTCAGCTATGCGCACATCTCACAAACAAATCTAGAGCAGAAAATATCAAACGAAAACTGAGCGACACTGAGAAGGATTCACTCGAAGCGGCGTTCAGGCGAAATCATTAAAGCAATAAATGCAACAGAGACACTCCACTACGCTAAAAAGGTCACAGCAAAAAAAGACGTAACACATTGAATAGTCTGAGAGAAGCAACGGACATATTTCAAACTCTAAATGGAATTTCTAAGAATGTAGAACGAATGTGTGGGACAGGTCACGTCCATCATGAGCAGAGCAGCGTGAAGAAAGACAATTATTGATTATATGGATGACACAGATCGTTATTTCGGGCATTCCTGATACGGTCTTTCTTCTGGCCAACAAGGGGCAATCATGGCGTCCTGTCTGACGGAGTGGCCTGGATAGGCGCGCAGAGCAAGAGAAACAGCAATCCCGCCCGTATCCGTCACACGCGCCAGGCGCCAGACCTAACCGGTGACGCTCAGACGAGACCGTCTGGTTTGTATATGAGCTCTCTGTCAGACATTTTTGTTCTGAAGCTGGCAATGCCCGGCGTATCATAACACTTCAGATAAAGTTTTTTTGACAATTTTACACCCAGTAATTAACCGCCAGGTTCATCCAACCACCTTGCGACCTGAGCAATACAGAGGTGTAAACTGTAAATTTCACGAAAAATTGCAGCATCGCTGTGAAATAAAGCTTTGCAAACATAATTGTAATAGGACATATCGACTTGAAGATTGGTTGGCATTCAGATAATATTAATGATGCAGATTGCAGTTAATAAGATGACGCTCATTTCCCTGCCAGTTTTTTTGTTGCAATTATTTCGCATCTTCATATGAAACAGACAAGCCTTTATTTCTAATGCCTATGTCTCTGCATATTACATGTTGAACTTTTTATGATCACCATTCTAATTGAGCTACTCAGCAAAATGTGAGGCGCTTGACAATCAGCACTCAAAAGAGCAAATATCATTTAATTCAGTGAGGCTAAGCTAACGAAATCAGACCAATTTTCTCTCCTCAGCGTAGAATTAATGATCGGTAGGCGTTTCAGCTGGAAACGGAAAATAGTTATCGACGGAGATAGCCGACGGCTCCAATCAGAGCAAATGACAAAGCTCTATTTCTTGCACTTTCCAATGTATCTTTCTTACCTTAAATATTTGTAGAATTTTGGCGACGTTGATGCTGACTCCACTGAAGGCGGCACCGATTACCCCCGAGACGGGCTTTGGCCGCGTCACGTTTGTCTCACAGACGGAGTACGAGCCGGAGCCCTGCGGGTGAGTTAGCAGTGTCAGCAGTACACGGTGAACAGACACGTTTTGGCCGCGTCACGTTTGTCTCACAGACGGAGTACGAGCCGGAGCCCTGCGGGTGAATTAACAGTGTCAGCAGTGCACGGTGAACAGACACGTTTTGGCCGCGTCACATTGGTCTCACAGACGGAGTACGAGCCGGAGCCCTGCGGGTGAGTTAGCAGTGTCAGCAGTGCATGCAGTGAACAGACGGGCTTTTTGGGCGCGTTACGGTAGTCTCACATACCCAGTACGAGTGCGGGTGAAGGGACGAGTCCCAGTTCAGCCCTGCGGGTGAAATTGCAATCATAGACTGTTTACAGAGCACGGTGAAGTAAATAGTGCGAAGACTCAGCTTGACAGGAGCTTAGATCACTTGGTCATTCAAAAGAGTACCGGTCATTCCCAAAGACTCCGGTCATTCCCATGGGACAGCGCGGTCATTTCCAGGACACTTCGATCTCCCGCCACCTCACGACACACCTGACACCGCTCTAACCCAGAGCGACGCTCAGTATCAGAACACATCAGTTTTATAACACCGCTCAGTATCCAAACACTCAGTGTCCCAGGACACCGCTCAGTTTGAGCCACCACCGGTCAATTCCACCCCGGACAGCGGTCAGCAGCGTCGGCCGATAATCGCCGGCTATTCAGATGATTAGCGGCGAGTCTCGTCTGGCCGGGTTCAGTGGACCGTGTGCTGTGTCATCAGAGCGCCCCCCCCCCAGAACAGCCCCCCAGTGTTAATGGAGCCCCCCCCCCCCGCCCAAATACACGGCAGTGGACGGTCAGCAGCTGCATTGCGTCGGGGGCTGGTCTGTTCTGACGGAGAGAGAGAGAGAGAGAGAGAGAGAGAGAGAGAGAGAGAGAGAGAGAGAGAGAGAGAGAGAGAGAGAGAGAGAGAGAGAGAGAGAGAGGAGAGAGGAGAGAGCGACAGAGTCGATCAGTCGGTCGCGGAGAGGCACGGAGCGCGCTGATCGGTCTGCTCCGGTGGACAGCGCCGGTAGTGGGACAGCGCGGACGCAATTTATAGAGGCTATTCCATCATGTTTATCGACCATGAAACTGTCAAGGTCATTATGACGTCTCCGGAGGGCTGTTAATTAGGGATTAGGAGGCGAGACAATGTGAGCCGCCCCTAATATCGGGCTCATAATCCATACACTGACTCGATGATGGCAATGAATCGGACGTTATCGTCAACCACTATGGTATTACGATGATTTAACACCATTAAATGCCCAGCCTGCCACGTTCTGAGGAGGCTGACGAGTGGAGCTAGTAGTTCTTTTTAATGCTTTAAATAGATATACGAATTTTAGCTAGACAGATCACACATTATTAAGAATCTTAGTTGGTCACCCACGTCGACATAACTCCAGTTTCTCCAACTTAACGAGATCTTCGAGGATCCTTAAGTGTTGTCCTTGCCAGAATCCTATCTGTTGCATACAAAATTGTCCCATTATTTTGTGTCCGTTTTCCTAAAAAAGTCGTTTCTCATCAGCCTTCGTAAATCATAAAATGATAAATGTTCCATTGGAGGGAACACCATTTGAGACCCTTCTGCCTCAGTCTCCCCTTCCTCGGCAATTTGCTCTCCCGCCGGCAGCGCCCTATCCGCCCCGCTCCACACCGCTCTTGGAGAGCGCGCAGAGACCCGACTGGTGCGTTTTTCCTCCAATCCGGACAGAAGTGAACGACAGGGACCTATGAGCCGAGTCAACATGGGCACGGCGCGTCAATATTGACATGCGGCCGTCCGGATATTCGGCCCCGTCAGAGAAGGCAGGCCCTCAGTGGATATAGAGACGTGAGACGACCCGAATTCGCCGCCGGCGATTCTGCAGGGCGACGGCGGCCCGCACGACGGGTCCTCGCAGTGTGCCGAGTCTATCGGATCGATACCGAGGCAAATCATACGCGCTGACGAAGCTGAGGATCAAACTTGAAATATGTGAGCTTGATTCAGGACTGGTGTGTTAGATAACCACCAGAACGGCTGTAAAATGATTTTCACCATATTATTCGTTTATAACAAACATAAAGCTTGCTTTGCAATAGAAACTATTATGCACCTAAAATGCAGACTGCTGGATCAATGCCTCACGTTCGTTTCCCTCGAGAAAACTGCTGCGTGTCTGCTTTCATCACCTCAACCGTCCCTGGTCCCATCTGACTACCGGAACTGAAGAGTCTCTTAGCAGTGTCGATCATTCGTTCGTTCGGAGGAGTTACGAGTTTGCTAACTCGTATACGATTCCAAACAGGTCGCCCTGTCGCTCTGTTGACGACACCAACTTTTCTGACGACCACCTGTGTCATGCTCCACTTGGTAGTAAAACCTTCAACAGCCGGCGAATTAAATCCATTTGTGGCCTCCGGTTTACGGCCGCCCGTTCCGTGACCTTGTTCTGAGCTATCGGCACAGTTCTGCTCTCAGTAGCATCGTGTGCTGAGCGCAGCTGATATGCTCCAACACTTTTCATTCACGGGACTGATGGCCTGGGCGGGTCTGTTAGTTGCTAGGCGTCCCGTCACCTACCCGGTAGTGTATGCTCCACGCCCCTCCGCTCCTCCCCTGCCCCACCCCGATACGGCCATCTCCGGTGTCACAGGGCCCGTCCGGCGATCCTCAGACGCCTTTGGTGGTGTAGAAGCCGAGAGAAGGCGAGCCGGGCCGCCGGAATCGCTGATGAGGCCGAGAGAAGCGTGCCGATAATCCCTCTGACACATCGACGGGTGAAGATGAGCGATGGTGGCGGCCTGATACCACCCCGGCAGCGAGATCTGACACTGCACCCAGATGGGACGGAGGCCGCTGCGAGAGAGGGCGAGCGACCGTCGGCAGCGAAAGGAGGAGTGAGCCGTGTGGCCCGCATGGTGGTCTCGGACGAGCTGTCCGACTGTGTTTTAGGCATCAACTTCCCTGGTCTAGAGCGAGGTCAAAAGGGCCCTCAGAGTGACGTGGGCAGCACTGACCACTGTGATGTCCCCTTAGTGACATCACCGACAGCGCGGCGCCGATATCGCACAATATATCCCGTGGTACTTGCTGAGGATACGCAACACTGAGTAGGTACTCATGCATGTTGTTCGCATACTCTAAGTATGGTGTTAACCTTCGCCCTGGTGGGGGGGGGGCATTTTGGCCCCCCCCTGTGGTTTTTCAGCGATAACTCAGAAACCACTTGAGTTAGCGCCCTGAAACTTTGTATAGCTGTTTATTCAACATTTTTACATCATGTCCTTTTTTGGGGGGTTCGGGTCAGGTCAGGTCAGGTCACAAGGTCACCAAAACTGACACCACCTCTAAAAAAGTTCAAAGCTC